TCAAAGCTTCAACTAGCGAAATCTTCTGGGTAATGACAAGGTCATTGCCATCCCTTTTGAAGACACTATGAGGTTTTTCATCGACAATGAAGACAAGGTCTGAGGGTATAAAACCCCGCTGTTCATTTCCTTTCTCTGGAAAAGTAATTTTTGTTCCCTTCTTCCAGCCTGGCCTTATCTCAATTGAAAGAATTTCCTCCATTGTTGTTGGTCTCCTGCACAAGAGTAAACAATGAGCATCAAAGCCCCAGATAGCATATGTAAAAGAAAGCAACTAAATCATCCTGCATGAATCCCACCCCCACCAATCCCATTCCCCCAAACCTCCCAGCACCCCCCTCCCCCCAAAACACAAAAAAAATAAAGAAATTTTAAAAAATCTTTGCATGTCATCATCTATGGAAATCTGATAGCCTGATATTTTGCAGCACAATCAGCCAGGCTGCATTATGGAATAGCACTGGGCAGAATGGCTAAATTCTATGGACATGTAATTATCCAATAATTTAGAGCAATCATGTACACAAAAAAGAAGTTATTTCAGTTCTAAGAAAAACATTGAGCGTAGAAAATTTTAGAATGACAAGTCTACTAAATGATGAAAAATTATCAGGCATGAAATTAATAATTCCATTCAGATGAGGGCCAAGACCAGCTTCAGAAAAAGGACATCACATTTAACCTGACAAGCCAAGCAAAATAAAAAATATTTCCTTAATTCAAAAAGCGTAAATAAAAGGATGGTTGACACTGACTGCCCACACGGCCATGCCAATCAGAAGCTCTTCTATTCCATCTCACTCAGAAATGGTAGAAGAAGAAGAAGAAGAAGGAGAAGAAGGAAGAGCCAAAATTCTAATTCATTTATTGCACGAGCCCAAAGTCCAAAATTATAGTCACTTTCAAAGCTTTTGGTACATTGGTAGGCTTGCTAAGGCAATAAAGCATTGGGTTGAGAGAAATACACCTCAGGTCCTTCTCTATTCAAAAATGAGACAAGGGAAACTAAGCAAAACCAGCAACAAAAAGAGGTGTAATAACAACCCTCATGCACCAATGTCACTAACCATTGATCCAAAAACTGAGGTGGCAAATCCACACAACTGTATGGAACGTGTAGGATAGACAAGTTACCCAGAGGTCACAGAGAGGATGTGCCCCTGACCACTGTGAAGTCCAAAGAGGAACCAATACCAATCCCAGTGCTGCATCAGTTTCGAGAATACAATCCAAACCAGTACAATCTGAGCAATGTGTACGCCTGACCATCTTCTCTCTTTTTTTTTGGAAGTGATGGAGGGAGGGGGGAGGTTCAATTCACCTACAACTATCCCTCAAAGCCTTGTGCATATCACAGGCCTTGCAACCGTTGTCCAATGAGTTCAAAAAAGCCATCAAGTTCATGCTTTCTTTCTCCAGGGGTGAAGGGAGCATCCAAATACTCACACTTTTCAACCAAAAGCAAGGCAAAACGGGTGCAGTCAGTTGCACTGAAATCCTCTTCAAACGCTGTTATCATGATGAGAGCCCCTCTTTTTCTCAGTGAGATAGAGACATTATTACAATGTGCTAGAACAAGAAGAGACTGGACCAGGAAAAGAATCATTTCTAAAATCAAGACCTGTCCAGGGAGAGTGTAACGCTATAGCAACTGTTAGCTTGCTCAAAAAGCATGTGAACAATGTATGGCCTATATGAGTCGGCCTCTATAGCCAAATTGAAGCCCCTGTCTATCTCATTTTCAATCACCTTGCTTGGAAAATGCAATCATAGAAAGCTGTTCATAGTTTAAGGTTAGTCCTATGTCAATGACAGACTCCAACAAACTTAACTGAAAAAGCGGCTCTATCCTTCCAACTCCAATCCTTTTACAAACTGTCTATTCATCAAAACCCTCGTCCATGCTATTTAAAATTCCAAAATAATGAGCTAAAAAGAACGAAAGAACCAACCCAGGAAAAAAATAAAGCTTAGAACTCAAAAGTACATGCATATATGGGGGCATTGGCTATTGGGTGTCATGCAGAATAAGTGTAATCAATAATCATATAATCTTATTACCATAAGAAAGTACAGGATGATACTAGGACACTTTTTTTTTGGGCAATGACATGGTTGTGAGTCCTTCAGCATATTAGAGACATCAAAATGCAACTTACAAGAATATATGTCACACATTACTGGAAATTTGAGATAAGAAAATGTGATGGCCTCTTTCAGAATACTAAGACCAATCACTTCAAGTGCCCTAGGAGTGCCATCAAATTTTCCCACAACTACTAAACTGTAAATGCAGCATCAAAAACCCAAATTGCCAGTATAAATGTGCTTGTGAATCACACAATTGACCAAAAACCAATCCCTATATGCATAATTCCCGTGAACAGATATAACACCTTCACCCCAAAGAAACCAAAATTCCGTAATTAACGCATTAAACCCAAACAAAAAAGACAAACATAGCAATTCTAAATCCCAACATTATACTCCAGATTGAATTTTAGGAGTTCTCGCAACAAAAACAATTTTTGAAGCCGAAGCAACTCAAATAAAAAGCTTACCCGTTGGCATCATTTACATCCCTCGAAATTTTCATCTTCTTTGTGGTTCCCTTGTACAAATCTTCCAAACTACAGGGCAGTGTCCGCTCAATGGCGGCGGCTTTCCGGGGGACACTGCCAGAGGAGCCTTCGCTGGTGGCACTCCTAAACGATGCGAAGATATCATCGCTGAACATACCTCTGGAGAAGCTTGATCCAGCAGAACGCGGGCCACCCATATCTCCCATCCCGCCCATTCCCCCAAAGGGACTCGAGAACCCAAAGAATTCGGAGAAAATGTCATCGGGGTTGCGGGGATTGAACCGGAACATGGTGGGACCACCCCCATCCGACGTAGAGGCGTATGCACTAGGCGGAGGAACCTGCCCCTTTAATCCCTCTTCTCCGTACTGGTCATATACTGCCCTCTTCTGCGGATCACTCAACACCTACATTTTCAAAAGGACAAAACAACAAAAGGGAAAAGTCAATAAACAGATACTAAGTTAGAGGGTCGACAGATTAGGGTTTTTTTTTTTAGTATGAAACATCTCAATACACTAAGCAAGTAGTAGTACATCGTAGGCTTCGGAGATTTGTTTGAACTTTGCTTCGGCATCCTTTTTATTGTTAGGGTTTTTATCGGGGTGCCATTTCATAGCGAGTTTGCGATAGGCTCTCTTGAGGTCGTCTTCTTTGGCATTGCGGTCTACCTGAAGGATTTTATAGTAGTCCACCCCCATTTGCCTAAATATGAGAGTTTTCTCCTCCTCCTCCTCCTCGTGGAATTCTGTAAATGTAGCACCTTCTCTCTACCTCTAGCGCAGGCGCAGTTTCTCTCTTCTTTCACCTCTTCTGATGTCTGTAAATTTCTGAGCTTCGGCTTCATTCAGTTTCCTGGCTGTGCACGGGAATGGGACAAACTACTCTATATTTTAAATGCAAGGTGTAATTACATTTTGCCCCTGAAAGTGGGTTTGACTGATATCGACGAGAATATACACTTAGGGTTTGATTGATAATTTGGCAAAACCTCACGAGAGGTAAATATATAATCAATCCAAAGAAAAGATGTGTCAATAAGAATATGACATTTTATGCCTTTGAAAACTTATAATACTAGGTCAAGTTTAATTTTTTTTTTTCTTTTGGCTGGTTTGACCGGCTAAATTGGTCAAGATGATTCTAAAAGCTTGTTTTAGAGGGTTGAGGTGACTTTTTTCACTCAAAAAATGGTTCGATGGCCTACCCTTACCATTTTAAATTGTTTAATGATCCTTTTGGCCATTTACTCTTCATAATATATAAGTAACTTTTTAAATTAGACTCCTCTTTTGTATTAGATTAGAGAGAACTTCTTTCCATCGCACCTTACTAAATTAATTTTCAAAAGTTCTTTTCAAAAATTAATATCATTTGTAATATATTTCACTGCTTGTATTAGTTACACATAAAGTTTCATACAAAAATAGACCAAGTTGGTTCTGCTGTCTAATTAATCATTGCAAAATTTTCACAATTTTGGCCCATTTTTCACCGTTCAAATATTTCATGTAAATTGAATATCAAAATATTCTAAAAAAATCATTTTGTACCATATTGATCTACAGACCAAAGAAAACTAATGATACAATTACATAATTTTCTAATATTATATGGATTTAGATATAAATAAATGAAAAGACCAATAGAGAGAAATCTCTGTTCAAGTGTGACAAGGAAAACATCAAGATCACACATATGGTAATTTTGGAGAGTTATGAATATTTAGTGTTTAAATGTAAATCAATTTCTCAATATAATCATAATTTTATTCCTGATCTCTCCCGATTTCTTAAAATTCCCAATGTTCACTTTTTTTTTTTTTGATCTTAGATCATAGTGTGCCCGGTGCATTCACAATAGATTAATGAGACACAACTTTTATTTACTTGTGTACGAAAAATTTTATGACATTAATCCTTGCTTAAAGCATAATTTAGAGGTTCCAGACCAGCGTACTCGCAACTGCGGACTATTTCGTTGAGATAAGAAGATTTTAGCTAAGGCATGGCTGCTAACATGCTCCAAGCAGCAGCAGAGTTGTCCTGAACGACACCCTCTGAAAACATCTCAATTGCAGAGGCATGTCATCATTTATTTCTTCGTAAGATGTAATCTGTCAGCAAGGTCAAGTGATCTTGCCAACAAAAGGAAAATTTTAGGCGGCTAAAGTTTCACTTCTAACACATTACACAGCCCACAAAAAATACACACGCATAAAAGCATCATACGCGTGCCATATGCTTAAACCCAGTTTGCCCAAGTGATTCCCATTAAACAGGGCCTATCCATCAACAAGCCTACAGAATGCAGCTGGATTTGTAACATCACGTGAAGAAAACAAAGCTGCGAGAGAATTCGCTCTCGAAATGCAACCCTACACTGCCCCGGCAAAACTGCAAGCAGAAGCTGTAGAACTTTGTCCCAAATCCGAGATAACTACTAATCATTATCTGGCAGAAGTTAATTTCCCAAATACATGTGAGCAGCCATCAATTTTCATAAAGAACAGAAAATGATGAAATTCAAGATGCAGCTCTTTTTTTTTTAATTTCCTCAAGCACTGGAACAGCAATCATAAAACATTCAGAGCATCTAGGGGGAACCATCAAGGTCAGCAGCATAGAGATAATTTCAAGAAACAAGGCTGATGTGCTGTAAGATTGACCGCTTGGGCTACATCCCACAGCATCTAAAACTCTGGGAATTCAAGTAGCAGTAGTCCACGTATCTAGCGACATTAGATTTAAGCCATGCAAGTCAACCAAAAGAAATTCTACCAACCATTATAAAGATTTGCATTTCCCTAGCCACATGTTTCTTCTTCACCCCTATTAGAGATGTTCCAGATAAAATTCAAGATCCAATCAACAGATTGAGCCAACAGATAGCTGCAGATCTTGAGCTTATCACCAAATGAATGCAGACAACTTTTCAGAGCACAAGAAAGCAGAGATTTGGGATAACTGGCCTGCCTCACACGATTCCTGCATACTGCAATTAACTGTAATGCAGGTAGCAGAACATGCAGCAATTAGAAAACCAAAAATAGCAATAAAGGCTAATAGAACTTCACCAGTAAAAAGAATACAATCTGAGTACCAAAACCATCACTAGATTCACCAGAGAACATTTCAATATGCTAGTCTGATTCAGTATCAATAACCCTGGATTATGAGCAAATTGTCTATAGTACCACCCAAACTATAGTCCATGATCTCCCCTAAAGCTCTCTCGGTGAAACTTTTGATGCAGCAGTTTCCTTCTTAGTGATTTCCCTTAACTAGATAAAAATCTCTCACCATAGCTACTTGCTCATACATAGCACTATCTAAGCACAGTCCCAATACAAACTACTCTTCTCAAGTAACACTTTAAACTGCAAAACATATAAGTGAGCACTAACTCGATCATCAATAAAAGTGGACTACTGAATAACAAAATACAAAACCGACCACGTGATTGTTATCTTCAACACAGAATTTATATCTTTGGTTGGAAAGGAAAAGGACCAGAGTAAAAGTTATAACCCACTAAGAGTTTGTACCGTCACAGTTGACCTTTCATGTCAAAATGGTAAATTTTTTAAGCTTTACTTTACATGTTTCTTGACATTTTTTATGTGGAAATCTCAACATTATTCAAGTGTCACACTTGCATTAAGATTACTTTCCCTCATTATTATTTGATATTCTTTTCATTCATTTCTTGGCCCCTCGTGGTGGGGGACAGAACATGAGAATTGACAGAACTTGAGAATTAGTTATCTCCCTAAATTGTGCTCCTCAGATCCATAATTAAATTTGTAGCATAAACAGATTGTTGGAGAACAAGAATCACAGGGTTTTGGACTTTGCAGTTATTTTAGACTTCATCTCTAAGAGGATAACAGTAGCTTTTTCAGTATTTTTAGGATGACATAGATATTCAGATTTATGTTTATGGATTACTCCTTATTAGATACGTGCACCTTGTACAAAGTCGCTAGGTGGCATTCAGAATGAAAAAATAAATCAAGGAAGAAACTCTAATTGCAAAGTAAACTTGTAAACATCTTTATCATATACACGTTTACAAGCAAACTGTCTGGATTCGCGGCAAATGAAAAATGGTGCAGGGAAGTAGATGAACCAGTGACCACTGAAAAATGAAAAATGGTTTTAAACCTGAATACACGCACCATGCAAGAGGCACATCTTGCCATCTTCCTCAGATCAAGTTGCATCAGATGATTCCTTTGACTTGTCAGTCACCACCTCCTTATCAGACTTGCTAGTCTCTTCACTTTGAGCATGACTTGAGTGTGTATGTTCCGACTTGCCCAACTCTCCTGTCTCAGAATGGGTTGGTTTTGTCAAATCTGAATTATGAAAGTCGGAAGCTAATCCTAGCACCACTAGTACAGACCTGACAGCAATTCAATTCCCTAGTCAGAATAAGTACAAATGTAATTTATAAGTACGACAGAGGTAACTTGTGTGAACCTTGGGAGTGATGATTTAATATGTGGTTGGCTAGCATGTGCAATCAAGGGATCCCTTAGAGCTGGCGTTCTATGTAATGCATTTTCCAGGTGTGCTGGTGGAAGCTGAAAAAGCGAAAGCATCTAACATCACATTCAGAGCCCAGAGTATGACAAGAATTGATAAAATCACTGCAGTCAACTACAAATATTGGACCAAACTAATCAATATGGCAATTCAAGTATTACTAAATAACCATAAAGGTCAGTCTCAGCATAATCGTCAAGACTTCAAGAGTCTACAACATTTTAAAGATATGAAGAAAATACAGATAATTGAAGCCAAGGAAGAACCATATCTCAGTGGAGAGCTCTATTACATATACTGTCTTCTCAAAATTTTTTCCTTTTAGCGAATATCTGCTTCAAAAGCAGGGGGAGGAAAAAATCAAGCATATGGCAACTCGAATTTGTAAACAATCATTTTTCAGCTGTTGATAACTATTCTTCTTCCAATTTTGTATTCTACAACAGATGGCTTGTTAGCAAAAAAAAGTTCAAATTGATAGCCTGACAAGCAACCTGCTCAGCTGAAGAATGCAGAGTCAAATACATGATGTAGCACAAGATTTAGAACCCACCACGCCCCCCCCCCCCCCCCCAAAAAAAAAAAAAGAATAATACAACTGAACAGAATCAATTCTGAATTGGCAAAACTCTTCTTATTACAGTCACTTCCAGATCATTCATCATTGAATGTCAATGTCAGCCACATCCATATCTTTTATATATCTAGACCAGCTCAGGAAGTTTATAAGATAAAGTTTGTGCAAGTATATCAGAGGATGATGAGGAATGGCAGACCATCAGCAGGTAATTCACAAACAAAATACCTGTATCTGCTAATTATAAAACACATAGATTTATCAATTGGTTTAGCACTGCAAGATCAAAATAATTATCATAACCCCCAAACACACACTAATTAGTCACACAGACAAAAAAAAAAAAAGCAAAGTAGAAATTTACTAGTTGAAAGAAAGTATAGTTTAGTGAGCTACATGAATCATGAACTTAATGTTTTGCTACACATAACAGTACCTGAAGCAAGACACCAAAAGATTCTGGCTTTGTCAAAAAAGCACACTTAATGAATCCGACCCATAGCTTTGGATACTTCCATATCTGCTAGAAAACAGGAAAATAAGTTCTCAGAAAGAATGACATGCAACAACTCCATGATCAATTTTTTACCTGCTTCTGTACAAGGCGAGAAAGGATTTCCATTATATAGTCCACCTGAAACACAATTAGGGTCAGGAAGCCACCAATGAGATTATGAGATACTTGACGAAAGATGGAACTTATCATACATTAGCCATGACTTTGGATCATATCCTATAATAGATTCTAGCTAGAGTCACAAAATCACAGCAATAATCCTTTAGGTAAAATATCGTAGTTGGAACCATAGAAGATCTCAGTTTTTAGCTATTATAGTCGGACACATAGAAGATCCCTCGGTAGAACTGGCCAGAACAGCACTGGACATGATCTACATTTACAAAGATAATCAGCACAGCGTATCCACCACTTTTCCCAACATCAATCTCATTGAGTTGTCTGACAATTACAAACCACTCTTAAAAATCAATGCATGGTTTCCAAATAAACATACAATGCCTCAAGTTCAAAGGATATAAACACAATGTATTTGCTCATTCTTGTGGGCAAAATGCTTAAAACTATCATGCTTTTTGAATATTTGTGGGCTATCAAACTTGAATATTAATAAAAACCAATCTTTGTAATTGAATATAGTGTAAAAGACCCCGCATGAAATCAACTCCTAAGCCTTGGCTACTCAAAAGGGACTATCATACACAAGTTAATTCAGCTGCAGATCAGCAGGCAGAGTATATGATACAGAAAATACTTTTCTGCAACAGTTTAATCACTAAAAAACATCTTACCAGTGATGGAAAAGCACCAATTGCCTGCAGCACTGTGCGCATAAATAATAGGGGAAGGGGAGTCTGCTCAACCTGCAGCAGTATCAAGTGAGGAATGAAGTCACGTAGTTTGGAGGTTAAGAAAAAAGGAGTGGAGTTAGGAGTTCTGCATACCAATTGATTCAAGACCTTTGCAAGAACTTGCTGAGTGAAGATCTGTCGCTGCCCAAAACAAGTATTACATGCTTCCGTAACCTGTTCTTAGAAAGATGTTCTTCAGTAAGCAACTTTATTCGGATAGGCTAGGGCAGTATTGGAAAATGTCCTTTTTTTGAGATTTGAAGGTATGAAGAACAGAGGTAAAGCTTGTAAAATAATAGACAAAGATAGGAATCTCCCTTACATAGATAAACAGCATACCCTGACTAGCAAAATAATACAGGATTGAGGAAGAGGATAGAAAAATAGAATAGTTCTTTTTTTCTTTTTGGTTGGAAGAAAAATACTGATATTTACTGTCAAAGAAAGTGCAATTTGCAGGTAAGAAGTTTCCACTTTTAAGGCAGTGTTTGTATTTTGTGGGAAAGGTTACCCTATATGGAATAGCGTATATGGTAATAGTACAACAAATAACAAAAAGAGCTTATATAGGAATTAAAAGAAAAAGCTACCATAACTCAGAACAGAAAGGCATTTTAGGATTATTCAACAGATAAGTGCAACAGTATATCAACCGAATGTGTGCATTGGATGTGCAAAAGATGAATTTACCACTAAATACTATGCTATAACATCCAAGAGACACCATGGATATTTGATGTTACTTTAGGCTTGTTTTAAATGGTCCAGGGAATTAGTTGTGTGATGTTCTTGCAGACTGAAACTCAGCCTAATATCATGTGACTAATGTGCTGCTATTTTCAGATAGGGTGGGTCTCAGAGATTTTCTATGATGCCCTTAACCAGAACAAAAATGACAAAAAGACCACAACAGCATGACTAAGCATCTAAACACATGGTAGAACAAAATATGATTCACATATGGGGTCCTAAAGCCAAGGTGATGAACTGATGCTGCCAGGAACTGTATTGTAAATCATGCAAGAAAAGTATAAGCTTCCACACCTTCTTCAAAGGGATCCCATCTCTTTCTGGATCAATTCCATGGATTGCAATCAAAGCTTCAGCTGGAGTTATTGCCGGACAGAAACTAGAAGACCCCTGTTCAAATTGTTGCTGTCAAAATCATTACATAATGGTGGCATAGTAAAATTAACAGCCATATGGAAGAAACAACCAATTCAAAAATCACCCAAAAAGGTACTAAGACAAGGGTCAGATAGTAAATTCTAGGTTAAATCCAAGATACAGCCAAGAGAAATGATCCAAAATGTAACACATCCAGGGTATAAATATGAAAAAGTCTCCAACATATTTATTAAAGGAAGGTTCACACTTGCACGACCAGATTCTGAGGATAAAGATAAGAAAACTGTAAATATCATGTGTTAAAAAAAGGAGTCTTTCGTACACTAACAACGTACACACTAGCAAACCTGGATGTATACACTATCAGAGTAGGAAAGTAGTTATCGCAAAAAAATCCCTAAACTAATTAGATTATCTAGAAAAGGTTCAATGCATTTAGATGATTACTAAACCAGCTCATAATGTTATGACTTCTTGAATGAACAAAGACAGAATATCTAAGAAATTAAAACTCAAAAAAAAAAAGTGCCAACCACTACTAATCATGATTGCTAACGGAAAATTAAGGCTTTGTTTGGATTGCATTTTTTTGGATTTTTTGTAGAAAAATGACACTAGCAATTTGATATGTGAGGTAAAAAGATGATTGGGAAATATGTTCACGGAAAACGTGGCAATTTTTCTTTGGAAAATTGCTGTCCAAACAAGGCCTAAGTGTCATGAAAAGCTTCAATTTAATAATTGCTCAAGGGCGAGTTTGACTTGAAGAAACATTACATACCTGCGCACAAGCACTTTTTTCTCTCCTTTTCTTTCAGAAAGCTACCCATTAAATGGGTGGTTTAGAATGAACTCATACCACTTATCAAAAAGATAGAGATGTACAAGAACAACATAGAACCAAAACAGCGGAAACATAACAAAAAAATCACCAATACCTGAAGCACACATGCAAGGGCAAGCTGAAACTTCTCCAATGGGGAATTCACGAGATGTGGAAACATTGCCAAAACCTTCAAAATAGAAGATAACCAGTTATAGGGAAGCACAAAAGGCAAAATTCAAGTCACTAGGGAGAAAATATATATGGTATTATCACAATTTCTATGTCTCTATCTATAACAGCTTGATGGACACTTTGCATTGCATAAGCTAGTAGACCATAAAACAAAGCCTTCCATGAAAGTCATACATGTTCATACACTACCCTGATTCTAATCTTCTCAATTCCAGTGTAACTAAGTCAATTGACCAAACCAAAAAAAAATTGGAGAGACACAGACGCCCACACAGAGAATGAATCTGATTACTACCAAATTTAGTCGTGACATTTTTGACAGGTCAATATTAATAATTTAAAACATCTTTAATAATTTCCCAAGCATATCTTAGAATATAGTTGTATAGCTTATGAGCAAATCTTGCAACTTATTAGATGATGGTTTCACATGAAAATTTAATTTTCTTGGTTTCAATGCATATCTTACATAAATATCACATGTATGATACACTACAAATCATCTGAATAATACATGACTAAGCTCAAAATAACACAAAGCTATTAATCTCATACAAAAAAGCCAGACCAAAGTTCAAATTCTATCACTAGTGGTGACAGAGATTTGTCCTGGTGATTAATATATATGCCATGTGGTAGTTAGCTGACATTTAAAGGTAAAGGATCTCATTTGGGTACATAGACCCAGATAAAAATAACTGATCCCGTGCCTAACTGCAAGATCTGTAAAAAGAAAGCATGTTAAAATACTCGAATTACTTAAAGTTATTCAAGTAGGCAATTCCAAAGGGCCATAAATAAAAGTAAACTCTGCATAAATATGAAATGGAAGAAAAAGAAATCAGAATGTAAAGAAGAAAATTAAGACCTCATCTTTTGGCAAAAATGGCAGTATGAGAATTAGAATCTCTACATCCTGTATAAAGATAGGAAAAATCAGCAAAGTGACAGAGTGAAGGCAAAAATCACTTATCTAAAAAGGGCATCTCAACAGAGAAGGATAAAGCACTAAATGTACTTATAAAGTTTATAGTATGCAATCACCAGTGAATTAACACATTTAAAATGTGGGAAATGCTACCATGCCATTAGTGTGCACACGTCCCTCTTTAACAAAGCAGAATTGCAAATGTAAAGGACAAGGATTGAGCTATTTCTCTGTATATACTCAAAGAATTCCAACTTTTGACCAACCCTATCACCCAACTCCCCCACCTTAGAAGAAAAAGAAGAAATAAATAAAACAGCAACAAGAAGAATTCAGATTAGAACTAGGAAAAGAGCTAAATTCTACACCTTTACTTTAGTATCATACAACTTCTTAATGGTAGATAACAATTCCGGGGAAGGCGTTGTCCCATCTATCAATGTGTGTAAAACCTGGAAGATCATCAAGACTGAGCCGTACTTTATAAAAATTATTACTCAGTACTCTATAATAAAGAATATTCACAAATCTAAAAACCTGCATCACAAGCTCCATGCTTCCAGTTGGTAGATCAGATAAGATTTGAAGAAGCTCAGGCGACGGGCCAATTGCTCGAACAAGCTTTGGGATGTGGTGTAATACTGCCTGTAACACACAATTGGGTCAGAACATCTAAATAAATTTGTTAAAAAGAACACAAAATGCCTAATTATAATATATTAGTTTGAGATTGTACAAAACCTGCTTTACAGCCTTGGATGTATTCTCATAAATAACAAATATTTGGCGAAAGAGGGAGTGATTCTGTGCATCAAAATTGAATACGTACAATGAGTGTAAGAAGAGACGTATAACAATCTATAATATACTCACATAGAGTTCATTTCTGTGGCGCAATTTTTGAAACGAAACTAAGTTTACACCTTTGTACAAATTGCAAAATACAGAGCCATGCGTCGCTGCCCCTCAGCTAGTAAGGAGGACGATATACTTTCAGATATTGACAATGAATCGGTGACTGCTGATAACCCTTTGGAAGAGGTACCAACAACGGGAAGTTCATTTGATGGTTTTCCCATATCAGAATCCTGAATAAAAATGGTTTCTATACATCATCAAATTACTGCAACACAAGCAAGCTATTTAATCATTAATTCAAAATTTGCAGAATTAGATAATTGTTCAACAAAAATGCAATGCAAGTCAAACAAAATAGCCGCATTTAAATCGTGAAATCACTTTTCCATTTTCAAAAGCAAGACCTTAAATTCAGCATTAGCTCCATCAGCATCACATGACTCCAATGCAGTATTGGCATTTGCAGCTGATACCAACACCTCCCAGGCAAAAGCTTCTATTTGCCGTGACATTGAAGGCAGAGGATAAAGCTTGTTCACCACCTGTAAACATAGAAGCAATATAAACGAACATAATATGCAACAAATATAAATTCAATTCAAAGTGACTTGAGCAAAGCATACCAGACGTAAGGCCTTATCTCGCACTTCTTCAACCGGATGAATTGCACTCTATCAGAAATCAAAATAAAATCCAAGTCAGAACTGAAGAACTTAAGGATAGTTAGTCGCCTCCTAAATAAAATAACCTGAATACCGTTTGGGTTTCATGAGAAGCTCTTCAGCTTGAAATAAAGGACTATTTCTAAAGGATGTGCACAATAGCTTCATAAACCCAATACCCTAAACTCAGCAACTTCACTATCAAGCAAATTCAAGTGAATGAGAAGACAAGCACAAGTAGAACATACAACTGCCCCCTCAATCAATAAATTTAAAGAGAACTTTTAAAAAGAGTTATCACTCTCCAATCCTACACCACATACACATATTTAGTAAGAAATTTTAACTTCTAATTAACCAACACCTTCTCTTCTTTATAACACCACCTCTGCTTTTCAACAAAAGAAAGGGGAGAAAAGGAACAAAATAAGTACATAACAAAGCATGAGAGAGATAACTGTGTGGTTAGCTTTATTAAGCCATGGATCCTTAGCCAATAGATGTCCTCTTATTATACTTGAGCACAGCTTTGTCCAATATTCTTCTTTGAGATAATGAGCTGTTCTATCAATTATACCATAATTACAAACATATTTCAACATTTTCCATTATAAAAAAGCAAAGAAGGTTAAAATATGTCATTTACAAGCCAAAAGCCCATGACAAAAGAGCTGCATATATACAAGTCATAAATCTTTTCATAGAACTTTGAACAAGATAAATTAGGAAACCATTGAAGCATATATTAAAGCAAAACTAATAATGTTACAATAGAAGAGAAAAACCTTCAAAGCAATTGTTAGGCAGGCATCTCGAATAGGAGGCCTCAACAAAATCAGACTCCATACAATACTAAGACCTTGCCGAACTCGTTCCAGATTGTTGTTATCTTTGTTACTGCCACCAGGGGAACACATGCCCTCAAGCAATTTCAAAATGGAATCGGGCAGGTAAGGAACTTCAACAAGCAATCTATTTAGACATTTGTCAGGCCATGGAAAAGAATCCCTTAATGTTTCTGCCTGCATTTTAGAAGATAAACAAGATGGTATAAATAGCTACCATTCACTTAGGCCAAAGAGGTAGAAAAGATCACATACCACGGTAAGAAGAAACATCTCATATACAGATTTAGAAGTGGTTGAGGAAACAAAGTCGTGGTCCTCTTCTGCTTCACCATATAACCTGTAGAGGACACGCAAAGTCAACTCGTGCCCCTGACAACTTCCACTGGTTAGCCATGTTACTAGAAACTTTAATATTGCAAATACAAAAGGCAGACACCAAAAGGTATGGAAATAATTTTTACAGCTAAAATATCTGGAAAGGAGGAAATGGAAAAATTTATGACTATTCTATGCTAGAGATCACATGTAAATATGCATATAAACATACTAAAAAATTTTGATAAGTTTTCAGAATATTAGAACATTCTAAAAGTTGAGATAAAGTACAAGCCACAAAGCAAAATTTGAGTAGACAACCAAACAAAGAAGGCTTATGAAGATTGACAGAAGTGACAACCAATAAATGCACTGAACTGCATATACCACCTATGCTATACAGCCTTTAACTAAAGTTAATGACCAATTACTGATATTCCATATAAGGCCTTGGTCAAAGTACCTGCTTTCCAATCAAACAAAGAAAAGGTAAGAGAAAAAGAAAAGTTCTTCAAAGATCATTGAATACATTCTTTACAACTTCCAATGTTTGGTGAGAAGTCTCTTAAGAATAACCTATAAAAATTTGCAATGCATTTAAATCATGTTGCATCATTAATGCCCATAGAATAGGAAGTGGAAAGGTGATTGATGTAAAGATTGGAGAAACTTGCAAGCAAGAATCACTAGTTATAAAGTGCCAATGGAATAACAGCTTAAAAACAAAAATCATATGCTGTATGGCTTCAAGCCATCTGCTTTTCGAAGTGAGGACAGCATAATGAAAAGAGTGCAACATTTCAAGAACCAATCTGTCTCCAGACACATACAAACCGAATATATCAACAAAAGGTATGATTACCTCATGATTTACATAGTCAGACAGTATATGTGTTTGTAGTAACTTCCATGGCTCTAAATCCAATGGAAACTGCATCAAGAAGCACATGAAACAATCTTGAGCACCTTTTGTTTTCAAGAACAACATCTAGCACTTCTTATTACAACCATTATAAGAACATATATCAGACAAAGAAATCTTAGGCACAGTACCTTAACTCCTAAATAAGCAAGTACAGAAAGGCAGACTTGAGAACCTCCAGCGGTAGCTATTTGCTTGTAAGTATCAGTTATGCGCAAGAGAATTGGCTTCTGTAAGTTATCTAGCTGGTCATCACTAAGACTTATAACTGGGGCAGAAATCTTGGGCAAAAGCAACTGTGTCGATAACCCAGAAGAAGTTGCACTTAAGGAGTTGACACAGCTTAGGTCTGTGACTGTAGCTCTAGGGCTAAGTTCCTCAGACCTATCAGTTGACACTGAAGGAAGTAATTCTAGTGATGACCTAGCTAGACTACTAACTTGTTCTTGACTTGCATCCTTCAATTCAGTTGAACCCAAAGAAGTAATAACTAATTCATCGTTGGGAACAGGTAAATCTAGACCAGGTATGTCACTCTCTTCATTCCCAACATCAATAACATCAGAAGGCGTCCCTGAACCACCATTCTCTGTGTCACATGGGACATGTCCACCTGAAGAAGCTGGAGTAGTTGTAGGCACCGAAGCCTCTTCCATCACATAGCTCATACCAGGGACATCAGTATTACCCGAGGTCCCTCTTAGCTGCAGTTAAGGGGATATTGATCTTAAATAATGATGCCCAATCAGAATCAACACAAAAAGCAGTTTGTGGAGAAATTATAAAGAACTGATGGTTAAAAAACAGATTCTAGACAGAGTCAAATGGCCATCATAAGAGAAGTAGGGTTGCAGATTGAATGATACCAAAAAAAGAAAAGAGAAAAACAGGCTGAGGATTCAGAAGCACCTCAAGCTCATTTGCTGCAGAAGGTAGAGAATCCATCCCACCATCTTTCTGTGAGACAGCACTAGATTGTGAAAGAAGGTTGGTGAGAAGCAATGTTAAATTATCAAACTCAGAATTGCTTCCTGACATGCCAGGACAAGACCCTCTGCCAAACAACTGCTCATTATCTCCTTCAATTTGAGGGCGATTTGAAGGAAAATTTCGCATGTTAGCAATTACAACTTCAGCAAGCAAGTCAGCTGATATACTAGAGATGAGAATCTCTAATGATGCAATAGCTTTTTCTCCTTGAGCAACCAATGCACCAAACATACCAACAAGTTGTTGGACAGGGCCACTGTCTTCTTCCATTTTACAAGCCCCAGATCCACCAGAAGGAACTCTGCCCTGGTCAGAACTTAAATCATTTGTTGATCCATCAGAGGTGACAGGCACAGATTTCATGCGTTTTACAGACATTTTATCCTCAAGTAGATCAGTACTTTCTTCCATTCCTGTTCTTTTCCTGCTGGCGTCATTGCGTATATCATCAAGGGCCTTGCTTGTAGGTTTTCGATCCTATAAAAATTTGATCCTAGAAATAAGTGTTGAAAAAAGGAAAGAAAGAATACAGTCCATAAAGATTGATTTTAAGTCTACTTTTATGTACTAATATACATATGCAGAAACATAAAGATGTTATTAACTATAGTCAAACACGGCTACAGCCAACAAAACACATACCTGGGTTATTAAAGAATCATTTTTCCTCTCTAAACTTCCACTATTTTGTGAAGCTAGTTCTATAGCAGCATGTTCTGCCACTCCTACAGCTTTTAATTCTCTCAGAGCATCAATTAAGCGATCACGCCACTGAAAAGCCAAAGAGTCAATTAAAGTTAGTGATGCTCAAAATCAAAGCCACAAGTCTGTAAACAAATTCACCTGAAAAACTACTTGAGAAGACATCCTAATCCAAATGAACAGGAAGAGAAAAGTCAAGAGAATTTCAGTCTTGAGCACTGAACCATTTCAGTATTGTTGGCTGAGGAGAGAGAATGATACATATATATATATAGGGAGAGAGAGTACATGCAGCAGGTTTCACGCTATACATTTCACTGTACTGCCTATTACCCAATATTGTACAGCTAAGTAATCAGTGAATCGGTATGAACATGAAATCAGTAAAATTAACAAAACAGGACAACACTGAGACACAATAAAAGTAGAAGAATAAGACTCATGAATGTATTTACATCTGAAAAAGTCATAACTAAAAAAAAATGATCCCAATCAAGAGACTCAAGAATGCTCATTTCAAAAATAAAAATTGAAATTAAATACCGGGACAGCACCCGGATGAGTACAATTCAAGCAAGAGAGGAAGGCACTCTTCAAAGCATGATGCACCCCTTTGCCACTGGAGCTTGAAGGGTCCAAACCAAGTAAAACTGGCAGAATACGTCCATAAAATGCAGGCCTTTTACTTGCAATTGCAGAGAGACTGTTGGAAAATGACAAAACGAAACAGCAGTTAAAGAGAAGAAATGAAAAGTGAGAGACAGCCAGACAAACAAAGATGCATGCATGCACGCACACACATTGAGAGACGAATATGAAGTGAAAGAGGAAAAAAAGTTACAGAAATTTAAAATTACAAAACTGAAGCAAAGTAAGATATAAGAACTACCTGTTGATAAGCATAATGATAATCAAGTTGTTCAGTGACTTTACTGTTGGAAATCTCAACTGATCGAGCAGCAGACCCAAACTCTGACTTGCTTCAATTGACAAATCTCCAATATTTAGTATAGGATGACCCCCTCGAAGCCATGATATGTTAAATTCTTTAACACTGGCTGCAGAAGGTGAGAAGGTTTCAGAAGAAATACATATTTAGTAACTTAAGAAATGCCTTCAGGGATAGGCTAAGGAGCAAATGCATACCGAAAAGATGCATATCTAAAGTACCTTCTGAATCTAGATCAGCAGGTGGATCTGAGGAGCCATTAGGATCAGGTGTATAGAGTAGAACAACTGTTTCCATAAACTTCAGTGCAAGCAACCTTCTCCCATCACTTCCTGGCTAAAGATTTTATAGGAACAAGTTAAACAGTGCACAGAGGCTAGATAGGTGCATCCCATGTTTCTAGAGTCTCATTTACCTTAAATGCCAACGAGCATATCTCATCGCGAAACTTTAGCATCCATGACCAAGATGATTCCAGAGAAGTATCCAACTCGTTTGAATACATTCCCTGCAAAGTACACAAAAGAATATGCAATACGTACAATTTTACTCAAGAACAGAAGATTCAGCAAGAGGAAGACTTCTTTCAGCAAATAAGTGATTAAAACGAGCTCAGCAGACAAAAAATTACGGGTACGACAAAATAAAATATAGAGAATAATAAAATCAATGACAATGCTTACACAAACTTACCTTCTTTTCTTTTTTTTTTGTTTCATTTTAATATCTTCTTATATGCATGCCTATATCCTGAGGAAACAAAATTAAGATCTGCAAAATATAGGCAATAAACTTATCCCATCCAAGCAGTAGACTATTGGTTTCAAAAGCGGAAGTATAAAACATCAAAGCCATGCATCATAGTGTTTGGAGTCTATCACTGAACCGAACAGCACATACAAAATGGTAATGAACAACAAGTCATATGAAATAAAAGCCAGAGGACATGGGAGGACAGGAAAATCTCCACAAGGTAGAAGATAGACAATGCGAGCAACTGTAGGACCAACTATCATAGCACTGCGAAAAAATTAACTAAATCAAGGTCTTCCACAAGCAAGGGACAAATATCTAAACTCAATGGTGTGCCCATACAATTCCAATTTACCTGGAGCGCAACTTTGAATAGAACATAGCGAAAAATCTCCATACCACACCTAATAGCCTGTCGAGCAACCGCTGGGGTATCATCCTTCAACACAGGTATTAATACAGGTACCATTTCAGGTATGGATTCTGCAAACTTCAATCCAATGTCGCCAATCATCCTACAGCGGAAAGAATCCAACACAAACACATTACTCGTCTAGTACTTTAACCTCCTTTGACAGGAAACCTTTTACAGGCCAATCAAGTCTCCAGCACTGGCTCAAGATATGAATCCAGCTTATCACATCATGCGAGTCCTAACCTACCAATATCACCCCTAATTCGTCTATGTCAATGTCATCATAATTCTGCCAATGAACCACGCATGCAAAATCCTATAGAGGACCAACTCGTAACAAAAAATGAATGAAAACTGGTAGCAGATGCTAAAGTGGCAGCATGGACTGAGTAAAGGAAAAGAATTACATTCTAAGGTCAATTTGTCTTAGTCTAAGACCTTCACTTGAAAAAAAAAAAAAAAAAGTTGAGCAACATTTCAGTTATAAATAACTTCCAGATGTTTCTTTAGACAAATGTCCTGCATTTCCTCCAATTTCATTAAATCGAACACGAGCATAACACCTTTCAAGCATCCGCACATACAAAGATTTCTTACTCAGCAGTGAATTTACGAACGGGACTGAAGCGGTCCGAGAGGAGGTCCAGAAGAGGGGAGAGAAACTTGGAGAGCAAGACAGAATCGGCATTCGAGAGTTCGTCGCTCAGCGAGCGTAAGTGTTCCAGCTTCGAAGGAATATCAGCGTCAAACTTCACCGAGTTTATGAGACTCGAGATTTTGTCTCTGGAAACTGTCGCCATTATTCCTACCATTGCTTACGAAGAAAAAAACCCTAATCCATAGAACGTCATCTACAACGATGGTCTCACTGATTCTGCCCCGAGAAACGTGAATTAGAAGACGCCTAGAATCACGGGAGAACGGAGGGAGATTAGTGGACCAAGGTCCTCACTTCTCACTTGTCTGAAACGAAACTCTACTCTTGGTCGTCTTAACAAACCTTGCCTGGGGGTATTCCGTAGGATTTGGTTGATTCGTTTGCGCCCTCAAATCAATGGCTACTCGAGAGCCGAGACTAGCAGTATGCCTACCAAACTGGCTTTGAAACGCCTGCCCCGTCGCGTCACTAGCGTATGATGTTTTTCCCATCCAAGCCCTAGTTAGTCAATATTTATTCGTATAATACATGTTTGTATCTATTATTCACAAAAATATTTTCATATTTTGTACACCGTAAAAATGCTCCGAAAAATATTCGCATATACCACGAATTATTTAAAACACATATAGTAAACTTTTAAGTTTGAGCGCATTAATTTATACACCAGGAATGATACTTCAATTTTTTTAAAATATTTTAAAATTTTAGTAAGGATAATGGCATGCCTTTTAAGTTTTATATATATAAAAAAAAAAGAGCTACGTATATCATAATTCTTGTAGATATTATTACACTCCTACGTATAATTTCATGAGAAGTACGCATGAATGGCCCCTTAAAGAAAAGGCCTTTTTATTTTGATCTTTCTTGCGTACCAAATGAGAGGTAAGAGTAATAAAATGATCTTATTTTAATAAACTTAACAACTCATACAATAATAAAAAGGTTTAAAATTAGTATAAATATAGTATAATCTTTGGAAAATCATTGCAAAATTTATCGCTGCTTTAGTTCCGTAATTTTCAAATATATTCGTATTATTCACTTAAGAATTTTTGTATATACAATTTTGTTGAAGATGTATTTTTACCCCGAATTTTTAATCATACTTCTAAAAAGTATTTTGCATATGCATAACACTCGTTTTTTACCATTTTTGTATTTTACTGACTATAATCCAAACTAATAAAAAAGATAAATGCTCGAGTTAGTTTTTATTTATAAATGTTTATATCATCATCAATTTTGTTATGATCCACTCTTTACCCCACCCTAAATTTCCAAAGGAATTTTGTAAATGCCTTCTAGCTAGTGAACTTTTAATTTAATACGCAAAGATAATATTTTAAATATACACACTGACATTTACTATCTCCTATATTTTCATAAACCTTTTGGCTTTAATCATATACTTACCAAAAATAAATAAAGAAATAACAACTAAAACCTCGTGCTAGGCACTTATTAGAATAATCAGTTATCGCCAACCTCAAATCATAACCATTTAAATGACAAAAGAAGGTAAGCTTTTATTGTCGTTTGTAAATTGTTTTAATTCCTGCTTATTTGTTGTTAACACAACCACATTATTTCCCCTAACAACACGTATTTTAATAAGAACAAGCAAAACATCACAATTTTTCAATTTTTAATCCGCAACTTTTTGAAATTCTTAGACATTTAAACTCTCATTTTACAATATTTTGTTAGTGAGTGCCCAGTCGACCTGTTAATTAGGGTCCAAATACAAATTTAATACAAAAATCAAAATTAAATTCCAGAAAGTGACCAAATCGAATACAAAAAGTGGGAATGATTGTGAAAGTTTGCGTTTAAATGACTGGCTTTGTATCTTAATTAAGTCCTCTAGAGCTCAAGTTTAAATTAGAAATCTATGACTTTTGACGGTAAATGTTCATAAATCCAAAACGAAGCAGTTGAAAAACATATGCTTTACATATAGACTTTGAAGAGGTAAATTCTGACTGGATGAGGTAGAATTTCCCGGAAGCGTGAATACCTCCTCCTTGAGTCTGGTCACTATGACGAGGTCACCTGCTCAGGTTATAGGGGGGGACTGAATCCCCCGATATAACTCCGAATCTTAAGTCAGTTCGGAAGTAAAGATAGTTGGATAGTGAATGAGGAGAGTATTGTTTTACCCGAAATTGGTCATCCCCCTTTTTAGTAGAAGGGTTGAGTATTTATAGGGGAAGGTTGCGTGGGAAGAACATCCATCACAGGTCCCTAGAGATCTGATTCGGTCAGTGCATCCGGTGGATTAGACCGGTCCCTATGAAAAGACATGATGGGACGTTGGTAAGGTTCAGGCGGCGTGTCAGGACAGCCTTCTGTCAGGTGTCAGAGGCTCCAAGAGTCACATCCAACCTTTGTGCTGGAGTCGGGTGTCCATAGATCACCTCGGCTATGAGATTGACCGAGGTGACCAAGGGGCGGGGAGTGACTCGATGGGCGGTGTTCGGAGCGGGAGACCCGGGGTGAGCCATCGGATTACCCGGGCCGAAATCACCTTCCTCACTAAGCCCCCCAAGCTTCGAGAAGGGCGAAGTCGTTGTTATCTGAAGTCGTACCTCCTCGAGGCTGATGAGCGTGTAAAACACGGACCTGGGAAAGGAGCGAGGAATGAATCAATCGTCAGGTGAACAGGATTTGCATTAATGAGGAGAGAGAACGGGTGCTGTAGGAAGTTCGAGGGGTGCCGACTCTTTGGTTTCCCTCTGCTGCCTATAAATAGGGGTTCTTTTTCACCGTTTTATTCTCTACTAAAAATCGAAAATCACTTCAGAGCTCTGTCTCCTCGTCGTTTCACTTCGGCAATCTTCTACAAATTATCCTCCACCACTTCTTCACTTCGCATTCCCTAGTAAGTACACTTCTTTTTTCTGCCCTTATGGCTAGAGTCGCTCATACCCACAAAGAAACAGTGAGACCCAACTTCACCGAGGCAGAGAGGCCTGACCCTTCCGAGGAAGGACATACAGTTGGCACAGGGGACGGAGGTGAGGAGGTGTCTCACCGAGCTGAAACTTTGGAGGAACAGGCCGACGAGATCGAGGTTGATCCCGAGGTCCTGTATAACGACGACCTCGGGAATGAGGTTCCTAAAGATGAAGGCGTGCAGGAGCCTTCCACTCCTCCTAATGTAGCAACGATGAACTATGGTCACATGCCAGCCTTCCGCAGTGCCATGTCGGAAGCTTCTGTGGCCGGGGTGATACGTAAATACCCCTGGAGAAGGGACTACAGCATATACGTACCTCAGCCGGACCAATCTGCCGCCCTGCCACCTAAAGGGAGGGTGGCAGTATACATGGATCAGCTGGAGGCCGGGCTCAGAATGCCCACCACAAGGTTTCTCCGGGATTGCCTGAGGTACTGGGGGGTGAGGATCACTCAACTCACCCCGAACACGATCCGGGTCCTAGTCGGCTTCCAATTGCTCTGCCGACATCAGAAGATCGAACCCACCGTCAACCTCTTCCGTCGTTGCTATTCACTTAAGAATAGCGGGAGTGAGAAGGGCTGGTTTTACTTCGGGAATAAGGTCCCGAAGTTGGTGTATGATGCGCCGAGCTCAATAAAGGAGTGGAAAAGGAACTTCATGTTCGTCCCGGCTGAGGACTTTCCTGGAGGATTCTGGTGGAGGCCTCCCACTTCGGTCAAAGAGACTTCCCCGGGGAAACTGGAAGAACGCAACTTCCAGAAACTGACGGGGTCAGGCCTCAAAATCAACTGCTGGGACTTCCCTGAGAACGTGCTTGTGGAAGGAGGGCTCAGTCGAGCCCTAATCAGCCCGGATCACCCCGTCCTGATCTCCACTAGGCTTCATATACCCCGTACTTTTCCATTTTTCTTTTCTTGTTCCCTCTTCTTGAATTCTAACTGACTCTGCTTCACTCTTTGCAGTGACAAGACTTTCCGATCTCATTACTTCGGGAGAAGTCGAGGTGGCGAAGAGGCCATCAAAGAAGCGCAAGGACGCTGCCGAGACCTCTTCCAGGGCGGCCAAAAAGACCACGGCAACAGCGGGCACCCGTGAGCCCGCCGTGGTGATAATAGGCGAGGGTTCGCACACCTCGGGCACGGCTGGGAGGTCCAAGTCATCCATTCCAACAGGGATTCCTTCCCGTGGAGTGACCTTGGTTTCTCCACCTCGGGGAAGAGGCCGGGGTGCTACCATGGTTCAGGATCACCCCATTACGGGGAACTCATTGTTCAACCTCCATCATGTACCCTCTCTCACAGCAGGGGAAGACAAAAGGCACTCCGGGGCACAATTTTGTCCGGAGTGGGAGATTAATATGAATGACCGCTGCAAGAATTCCCAGGTCGCGCACGAGCTCCTGGTGAATTCAGTCTTGCCGCGGGACAATACTTACACCAGGAAGCTCGATCCAGCCGAGCTGATGCAAGGAACAGCGGCCTCCTGGGCTGCCACTACGGCGTTCGTCGCCGAAATGTACCAACGCTTCGGGGACTTCATCAGCACCTACGAGTCACCCTCCGAGCTTCAGAAGAAAATTGCCGACCTGGAGGAGAAGTTGAAGGCCACCGAGCAGGAACGGGATAAAGCCGAGGCAGCAAGGGAGAATGCCGTGGTCGAGAACAACTCCCTGCTCACCGCGCTTGACGAGGAGAGGCAAAGAAGGGTTCAACAAGAGCAGTCAAGTCTGGAGGCCATAAACGCAGCCGGGGTCTCCGCCGTAGAGGCGTTCCGCAGGACCGAGTCCTTCGTTCGTGACCTCGGCGAGCTCTCAAGGCCGAGCTTCATGCTGGGTTACACGTCGGCCATCACCGAGGCGACACCCTTCCTCTCCTCTGAGCAGCTAGAGTCCTTTCAGAGCACCTCACACTACAACGAGGATGCCAAGGAGCTATGCGACCGCATAGCAGAGGGCATTCAGGCTGGGAAGGACCTGGCCGAGGTCCGTGCCGAATTCAACAAATGGCTCCTAGAATCTGAACTAGATGGGGATAGTGTCGAAGGGAGTCAAACCAGTAAAGAGGCTGAAGGAGGTCAGGCCGGCGAAGGGGCTAAGGCCCAGCCAGACGCCGAAGTGGGGGGTGAAATTGTAGGCCAGAGTGCTTAGGAGCGCCCATTTTTGTAATAGGTGGACTAATAGGTGTACCGAGGTCATGGATGACCTCGCTTTGTCAATTTCTTGTGCTCTGGAGCCGAGGTCACATATAACTTCGGCTTATTGTTCTTTCACTTCAATGCAATTGGCTTTTCTCACATGTTTTTGCTAATTGAGTTTGGTTTTCTCTTGTTTTTCTTCTTTTGGCTACTGTTTTGTCCCCTTATTTTTTACTTAAGATAAAGGAGAATAAGTGATAAATAACAACGGAATGAGATTCGACAATACGTACCCCTTCAAGGGAAATACATCTTAAGATTCTCAGCGTGCCAAGTCCGGGGCACTCGCGAACCATCTCGGTAAGCTAACTTACAATATCCATTTT